ACCCGAGGTACCACTGTAGTACTGATCAATAATACTTTGTATTTTTCTTAATTTGAATATTTGCATTTTTTTCAATGCTTTAGGGACACTGAAACACAAGCTAAACAAGTAAATGTACAATTTCTAAAAATCTGTATTTGTAATTAAAAACAAAAATATCCATAGCAAAAAACAGAAAACAAAATATATTTTATTAGGAATAAGACTAGAGATGTAACATCACATTTAATATACATAAATAAATTTGGAAATGTTGTGGTTTAATGTGCAGGAAAAATAGCTGTAAATATCCAGACAGTATGTAATAATTGTGATACCATAAAATAATTTTTTTTATTGATTGATTGATTGTTAGTTTTACATCCTGCCTTTATTTTATACAACTTAAGGCAACATGCATAATGATCCTGCCTCCTGTTTTGCCCACAACAACAAACAGGTGGGTTGGCAGAGAGAATGACTGGTGCAAAGTCAAATAGCAAGTATAAGCAATGCTTATAGTAATTTTCATAATTAGTGATTATGTAAGCTTGCTAAGCAATATTGGGAAGTTCACAAAAAAGGTGTAGAAAAAAATATTTTAAGTGACAAGCACTACTAGATCCTCTATTTCTGTTGCTTTACTAAAATAAACTGTATGTTAGAGTGAACTTATTTTTCTGTGATTATTGTTGCCAACCTATGTTACTCTAACCTTAGGAAAACAATCTCTGTTCTCTTGCCATTTTTGAATGAGAAGCTAAAGTATTTGAAAATGGCCTGTTGGAGAAATTAACCATCTATATGAAACTAAAGGAAAGAAGATCTGCTTGCAATAAATTTCTTCATACTGATTTTTAAAAGCTTTTAAAAATAAATAATTTATAAATACTTAAGAAATGAAGGTCGTGTAGTTCAGTGGCAGATGTTTTTCTTGTAGCAGATCCTAGATTCATTTCAGATGGAACTGAGGAAACCTCTTGCTGGAAAAGCCATTGCTCATATTATACAGCAGTGTGCATGTGTGTTCATTCTACACATGTGAGAGAGTGCAGATAATTATAACTGTAAACATGGATTCTTATTACTATTGATGCTGTGCTTGCAGTTTTGAGTGGCATATTTATATTGATATATTTGTTAATGTAGCTGGATTTTGTATGAGAAACCAACATTTCAAGGTCAAAAATATGTTCTAGAAGAAGGAGAAAGGATGCTGACTGACATCTTAAATCTTCACACAGAGAAAGCTCAAGGATATTTCACAATTGGCTCAGTCAGACAAATAATGAAGGTATAACAATTATAATAAACACTTCACCACTGTGAAAATTAGATGCTACTAGTGGTTACCAAATGGGTATCCTTATATATATTCCCTGTCCCTCTACTTTATCTTTCCTCAGTGTTGTATTATTTGCTTTCCTGCCTAGAACATTATAGCTAAAATCCTCAAAGATTCAGCTATTTTTCTTAAACTTTTGGTAACTCTTGTAATTATTTCTGTGCCTCAGAGTTGACTTTCTTATATCAAGCTTTTACCAGCATATTTTATTTTGCTTATTATCAAAACAAATATTTCTGCCAGTCCTTTAAAAATATGCACATCAGTGAGAAGCAACTGTGGCAGAGTGAGGTTTAAAATACCACTTTATCACCTTTTGTTTGCTATTTGATAGTTGAAGAAGGCTACATTAGTGTGTACAGTACTAAGTACATGAGTCATGACTACAGATTGTGCTGATTATATAGTCAAATGGGAGCTTGTGAAAATACCCATAAAATTAGAGAAATCATTGTTGACAAGAAGGAAAGAGTGGCTAATTTAGTCATAACACTAAGATTTAATATGAGAGCAGATCATGGGCATTTAAATTCAACTCTCCTTGTGCCTATTTTTACCTAACTTTGATACTTCTAAAGAACCCAAAAGGTTATTATGAATGTTGTGAATTAAAGTACAACCCCTTTTAGACTTTTTTATGAACCATAAAGTGCTACCTTTGCTTTTTTTTAAGCACACAATTTGTGAAAAGGATAAATTGGCTCTTAAAATATGAGGCAGCCTCTCAGAATTTCTGCTGAAGAGAAACTTCAGGTGACCATATCAACTTTAAATAAAATAAATTCACAATAGTAACTGAAATGTAGTGCTGCAGGAAGCTTAAATTATTCAGCAATTTTAGGGTTATCTTAAAAGTAGAATAGGACTATTTAATTACACTAGTCTTTGAAAGCAAGAAAACAAAGTAATTAATAACTTAGCAATGAAGTGAGTTTCAATTCAAAAAAGTTATTGTCGTAAAAATATTCCTAGAATCTATGAATACAATCCTATTTATGCACACTTGGTACACTTAGATGTGTACTATGTGGAAATACATCCTACTTCTAAGATATCTTTATTTATAGTTTTAATTAATCCAGTGATATATTAAAGTCTACATTCTCAGACTATTTTAAGAGGAAATCTTCCATTTTTGCAAGTTTTTAATGCTAATTTATCAATATTTATTGTTTTATATGATTCAGTTATATACACACAAGACTTTCTAGACCTATGTTTTATGGAACTGTAATGGTATGTGGGAATGACCTTGGGAAACAGGGAAAAGAGACGCAGCCAAGGGAATGGTCAGATAAAAGGCAATTTAGGCCACAGCAGGAATGTGGGCAGGGCAAGTGCCTCAGAAGGGACCCTTCCTTGTTTTTAGGGCTGCAAAGGCAACGGGGGAGAAAGGTACTTTCAGACTTCTGTAAGATTCTGTTAATGTAGTCTTACAGTAAAGTAGGATTAGCTCATCTGGCTGTGCTTCCTGTCTGGTCTACCTCGCAAGGCTGATAGGAATAGAGAGGAGTAATGTCCAAATATGTATAATGTTTTTAATCTGGTTTGTTTTAATCTGGTTTGATTTGCTTCACAGGATTGTTGTATTCCTGAAATTGAACTTTGCCCACACAATAGTACAGGTCATTTTCCAGTCTGCATTCAGGCCGGTATAGCCAATTTAGATGAATTGGAATTTGAAAATCCTGTCCTTTCTGTGAAAGCAGGAGTGTGAGTAAATATTTATTTTACTTATATAAATATGAGTCAACAATAGCTATTTGCTCATCATGCTAAAAGAGTAAGCAAAATAATGGTTATCTTTCTATACTTTCTAAAGAAAATTCTCATAACATTACATTTCTGTTTATCAGAAGCTTATTATCCATAAGATACAGTTCTATTTATCATATAACAGCTATAGACTTTTTCTGAAGCCATCAGGATACTATAAAATAAAAAGTTTGACTGAAATTAAGTTTTAATGTTAGGGCTTTTCCTGCATCTGGTATAACTGTCTATAATACTTGTTTGTGTAACAAGTAATGTTGCAGGAAAAAGGAGGTGAAATATTTATTTCATTCTTTTGAATCTGAAAATTTCCTGCTCTCTTTTGCAACTACTTGAAATTTTGTGTCATCGTTTCTAGTTGTAACTCAATCATACCCATGTTCTAGCATCTTTTTAAATAATAGATAATCTTCTAACACTGAGTAGATGATGTGATGCTCTTTGGTTTTCCTTCTTTTTAGACTCTTCTAATTTAAAAAAAAAATGGAAAGCTATCAGGCTATTATTTTTAAGATTGTCCTATATGGGTTCCATAAGTGTTCTTTGGAAATATTTCACTTGCAAGAAAAAGGGCAAAAAATAAACCCAGTTGGTAGAAGACATTTGGAGAGGGCTAGAGAAATTAAGAGCAACTTTTTAGTTTGCTTTTTGGGAAACGGATGCTAGCAAAACCCACCATGGTTGCCATTTTTAAAAAAACTTTTTTATGAAAAAACTTTCCATAAGTTTTAAAATTCCAAATCTGCTCATGCACACAAAAATGTTGTCTACTTGTGAGGTGTGACTATTATCTATGATAATTAAATGAAATATCCATGTTTTGAAAGACCATATGCTTCTTGAATAATGAGTGCTAATCCAAGTTATATGAATAAAGCTATCCATTAATTATCATGTTAATAGGCTAATTCTCCATTTTAATAGATGGCTTGCTTATTCAGACATTGATTACAAAGGGGAAGAAATGGTATTAGAAGAAAATCAAAGCCCATGTAAAATTTCAGCCACTGATGTAAAATCTTTTCGACCGCTGAAAATGGTAAGGAATTAATAATATCTATAATCAATTTAATTTGCTACAGTCCATTCTCTCTTCTAGTAATCTTGAATCTACATCTGACGTTCATGCCTGAACATTCATATTTATTATATCATATGATCATGAGTTCAGAAATAAACAATTAACCATTTGAGGAACCGATCTCTATTAAAAACAAACTTCCAGTGACTTGACAGAGGGAATTAAGTTTGACTTAGAAGATATTACTTCAGAAGTACTGAAGAAAAAAATATTTAATAATTACTCCACATATTTGTCCAGTAAAGAATCATTTAGGAAGCAGCTTTGGTTATAGGATGGTAAGTGCTGTCTGCTAAATCAGGACTGAAAAACCCATAGTGGCTTGATCCTTGTGTAATTCTAGATCAATCCATGTCTATGTAAACATTCCCAGGAGGTTCTCAGAAGTGGTTTTGCTATAATAGAAATTTATATCTACAAAATTATTTTGGATTGTAGTAATCTATTTCCTTATAACCTCTACAAATATATTTTGCCACTTTCGGTTTCCTCCCTCCCCAAAAAATGTCAAGACGAGTATTGTGTCATTGTAAATTTTGCATTTAGGCTTCTTAAGTACCAGTTCCCTTGGAACAATTGTTAGTAAATTATAGATCTCCCTGACACTTAACAGTTTAGCTTAGCTTGACTTGACTGGAAACTCTCAGAGACAACTTGGCTAAATTGAAATTGTTATTGCAGGCAAAAGTGAAGCCATATATGGCTGTTCGTTGCCCACTGCTAGGGCAAAGATGTAGAAGACTATATTCTCAGAACATTCTCCTACCTATCCAAATTAATGGAGACCTGGCACAGTGGTTTGTGGCCTTGAAAACAAATAGTTGTATGTTTACGTAACAGTCATATCTGGTATAGGAACTGCATGTTCCCACCTCAGCCCTTATAAGTATTTCATATTTAGTATTCTCCTAAAGTTTCTTGTTAGTGCTATCAATTAGAAAGGGAAGAAAAAAAATCTTCCTAGGGATATCTGTCCTCTACTAGAAAATAAATTAATTTATTCAGTCATGAACTTGATGAAGCTTTTTTAGTCATGAAATTTATCACGCTTCCTAAAACACAATAAAAGTACAGAGAAGAAATGGAAAGGATGACTGATTGATTGACTGACTGACTGATTGATTGATATGGTATCTCATAGAATCAATATGTATTAATATTATATTAATATGCATTAATATGAAAGTAAGTATTCATATTTTGTATTTTTATTTTGTACTTTAGGGTGGCCTAAAGGTGCAGATGCCTATGAATACTATGGTAAGCACAGCATAAAAATCATCCTGTTAGGAAGAGGAGTTTATTTGGTTGAAGGAGAACAAATTGGTGTGATCTACCATTAATTTTTAAAGATTTATTTTAGAAGTGCTAATTACAGTAGATATGTGTTGACTAAAACAATCTTACTATTCTATCCATATCATTCCCTTTAAAACTCTTCAGATCTTTAGGAAAATCATTTGTTGAGATAGACAATTTACAGAAAATGTAAAGTTGTCACTGATTCCAATTATGCTTTCTTAAAATCATATAAATCCAGACTAGCTATCAAAGAACAGCAACAGGAATACATTTTCTCCATTCCCTTTCCTTGCCTTTTTTTTTTTTTGGTGGGGACAGGGCTGCAGAGGGAAGTATTCCAACAAA